TGTGGAGTGTGATTTCTGTACTGGGAGAAAACACAAAGCTGTCAAGTCCTGCCTGGTGTGTCTGGCCTCTTACTGTGAAACTCACCTCCAGCCTCACTATGAGTTTCCAGTTTTTAAGAAGCACAAGCTGACTGATGCCACTGGACATCTGCAGGACAAGGTCTGTTCCCACCATGACAAACTCCTGGAGGTCTACTGCCGTACCGACCAGCAGTGTATCTGTTATCTCTGTATGTTGGATGATCACAGAGGCCATGATACAGTCTCAGCTGCTGCAGGAAAGGCGGAGATACAGGTCAGGCCAGAAACACTCTTATATAAATTATACAATTTTATTTGGCATTAAAATGGACTTTGTCTTAACATGTTTGAGCATCTCTGCAATAAAGACACCAAGATCAAGTCTGGTTTGGGAAAGTGAAAGAAAAAGTTATTGAAAATGCAAGATGTTCTAAAGTATGAGAAAGTCCTCATTGAATCCCTACTGTAAACCTCTTTAAACGTCGAATCATGTGGCCGCAGCTGGATACAAACCACAAACAAACATGGTTCAGAGTTTATTTTAACATAAAATAAAAATCAAGTCTGGTTGATAGAGCAAAAAAAATGAACAGAAATTTTGCTACTGAGAATTTCCTATAACTGATTAAGGAGAATTTTTTGCACCTTCACTTTTATCAATAACTGTGCCTGGAGCCTTTCCCAGGCAGCACTGGGCACAAGGCTGGGGTCCACCCTGGACAGGATGGTTAAAATTTAATCTCTGTTATTAGAAGAAAATTGTTTTGTCATCTTTTTCCCATGAGTAGAAAGAAATTGGTAAAACTCAGAGGGAATTACAGCAGAGAATTCAGATGAGAGAGAAGGAGCTGCAGGAGCTGAGAGAGGCTGTGGCCTCAATCACAGTGAGTATGAACCTGAGGAGAAGATAACAGCTGGTCTGTAATCATCTTGGATCTTCTCTCAGATTCAACAGATTGCAGCTTTATAGAGTTGTGGTAATTAATCATATTAAGGTCCCTGTGGGTTACTTTCGGTCAGATGTCTGGTGGGACAAAGCTGTTACGTCCGCTGCACGAGCGGGGACCGGGGAAGCAAACTCGGGAAACGGGAATCCAAAAAACGGGGTTTTATTTGACAAACAGCAGCACAAGACAAAAGTTAATGAACGATCTGGGGGAAACGGACTCAGACGCGGACTAAATACACAAGACAAGCCGAAAATAACAGGCAACAAGTGATCAAAATCAGGGTAGCACATGTAGGTAATGAGGGGGCGTGGCACACACGAGGATCGATCGAGCAGGTCATGACAAAAGGAGCCATATAACAGGGTTTAACTAACCTGGCCTTACAGCAGTTATAGCTTATTTAGAGAAATACCATGTAAGGCAAATTTGAGAAAAAGAAACTTTTCAAAGTCAATTTATCCAAACAATGTGTAAAGTTAAAAAAAAACAATGTGTCCTGCCCCAATTGTCCGCTCCTTCCGTGTGCCACGCCCCCTCGTTAACCCCGTGTGGAATCCTCGTGTGATTAGCTGTTTCTGGTTGTTGTCATTAGTCCTCTGTATTTAATCCGTGTTTCAGTTTGTTTCCAGTCCGATTATCTTATTGTCCGTCTACGTTTTGCCCGCCTTACCTGTAATTAAACCCAGTATTCCCTGACGTTTGCTTCTTTGTCTCCGTTCCATCCCCATTCGGCACGACAATATCATTATAATTAAATGTATTAATGGTTTATTATTAATATTAAAATAATTAATAAGAAATCTTTATTTTTAAATGTATTTTATTATATAATAATTACTGCTACTGTATCATTGTCTAATGTATTTTTTTACTGTCTAAATATATGTATTCAGCTAGTGTAAACATGCAGGGTGCTATCACAGAAAATGCCGCGGAGACTGAAGCGTTACCCTTTGTTTCCGCTGAGAGACATGCCGCGTGACTCATTTCCCCGCGCGTGCAAGTTATCTTAGGTTGACGTTCACGGTTTGACTTCTGAGATTCAGATCGAGTCCTAGGTAATTTTTTTTCGAACTGGTTGGTTCGACTTTTAAGAAATTCGAGTTCTGAGTTCGAGATCTGAGGTACCACTGTATCTATAATTGGCTTGCTAAAAAGCAACTGTTAAATGGTATTTTGTTTTTCTCCCTTGTTCGTAAAAGCAAAAATTGTCTTTGCTTTTCTTTCGTTTAGCGAAAACAGGTGCTAATGTAGATCTTTTGTAAAAGCGAAGTGATAAAAAAACTAATGTTCGTAAAGTGGAGGATACTGTATACATTAAGTTATGTTCAGGTTGACAGTGAGAAATGTAAACTGTTTTGTCTTTTTTTTCCTATATACAGAAACAAATAGGAGAAACAAAGAGATACTTTCAGCAGAGAATTCAGATGAGAGAGAAGGAGCTGCAGGAGCTGAGAGAGACTGTGGGCTCAATCACAGTGAGTATGAACCTGAAGATGTTATGTTATCACCAAACGGGTAAGTATCTGGTAATTATATCTCGAAAGAAATAGACGGAGAGCAGAGTCACATTCATACGCTTTACTGTAGCACCACAAAACAGGAAGCCCGCCCCGTGTGTCCCCTCCTAATGGGTCCCCATTGCAACATCAAAATAGCACAATTATATTCTTTACAGAACAGATAACAGCTGGCTTGTGATCATCTTTAATCAAGACTCGTCTCTCAGAGTCAACAGATCACAAATTTTCAGATTCATGTGGATTAATGATATTGAAGTCACTGTGGGTTACTCTGGGTCAGAGGTCTGGTGGGACAAAGGTGCCAGATAACAGGGTTTAACTAACCTGGGGTGACAGGGGTTAACCTATTGATTTATGTCAGTTAAGGCCCATTTGAGAAAATACAACTCTTCACAAGCAAGTGTAATGCAAATAAACACTAAAAAGTCACATATTAAACTGAGACCTAATGGGGACAACCAACCTGCCCCATACAGCCACCAGTCTCTGCCAAATCCCTGCAGCTGACAGTGTATGAGCTTAATGAGTGATCATTTCCAATCAGTGCTAGCTGGGTTTCAGTACCTGAGGCATCCAGCATCGTGACGCTCCAAACTCCAGCCCTGTGCTGTTTTTATACCTCCTGTCGGCTCACATCACTATTGTACAATGAGGCTCTCTGGAGTCTCAAAAGGGGCCAATTGTAATTTACTGTCCTCTGCTCCCTGTGTCACCAACAGAGCTCAGCACAGTCAGCAGTGGAGGACAGTGAGAGGATCTTCACTGAGATGATCCGCTCCATTCAGAGAAGACGCTCTGAGGTGACACAGCTGACCATAGATCAGGTGAATGCTGCAGTAAGTCAGACTGAAGGGCACATGGAGATACTAGAGAAGGAGATTGACGAACTGAAGAGGAGACACTCTGAGCTGGAGCAGCTTTCACACACAGAGGATCACATCCATTTCCTCCAGGTAACAGAACAGCTACTTTGGTCATAAGAAAACCAGAGTATTCAAATGGATGTATGTTCTCATTTGTATTTCAACTAGTCTGTCATTTGTCAGATGTTAAAGGTCCTGTTAATTTGAATCGAAATCACATTTGTTTGATGAAGCTGTTTAATCAGACTGTGTGTCTGTAGAGGTGCCAGGGTCTTCCTGTTACCCCTCAAGCTGAATTTGGACACAAAATCTCAGTCTATCCACGCTGCTCTTTGGAGAATGTGAGGAAGGAGGTTTCTAAACTGAAGGATCAACTGGAGAATGTTTGCGAAAAGAAAACAGCAGAGATCCGTCACACAGGTTAATGAATGAATACATTTTCCAGTCTGTTCATGTTAATATAGACCATGCAGAGAGAGTATGCAGTACAGTCAGCCTCACGTTTGTGTGACCAAGTCAGTTTCTTTTTTCAAGACAAAATCGTTCAGTAAACTAATGAGCTCCAAATTTTACAAGCTGGAAAACCAAGATCACATGAATCATGTGTCGTCTATATTATATAACCTAAAAATCTGTATTATATGCAACTTACAATGATTAGTAGTTTGTTAAAATTCTTTCCTTTTACTGCCAGAAAGCGATTAGTACTGAGCACTTTCCTATCAGTATTAGATTATGGTGATATAATAAACGTGCATGCATCCACATCCCATCTGAAAAAGCTGGACGTTGTTTATCATTCTGCTTTGAGATTTGTAACTGGAGCTGCAGCAAGAACACATCACTGTGATCTTTATGACATGCAATGGACATCATTACAGCTTAGAAGGAAATCTCACGGCCTAGCATTTATCGCAAAGGCTTTAAACTACCTCAGTACATATGTAATCTACTGACACTTCGCACTAATACTTACAGCACACGTTCATCAGTAAAACTCCTCCTTTGTTCTTCAATAACTCGGACAGAGCTAGGCAAATCCGCTTTTTGCTCATATGCACCACATGAGTGGAATTCATTACAAAACATTCTAAATTTGGACTCCCTACACCCTTTAAATGTTTTCAAAAATCTTTTTAAATCAGTTCTTATACAACAGTGTCATTGTTTTTCATAATTTGTAAAATATACATATTTTAATTTTTTATTCTTTCTTTCTCTTCCCCTTGTCCATTGGAATTTCCATGTATTTTAGTTTGATAGTCTGTGTTTATTGTATTGTATTCATTGGTACGTTTGTATATCTTTAGGTGTTAATATTATATGTTCTATGTGTATGTTGTTTGTTTATGTTGGAACTTTTGTAACTAATTGCTGCCACCTTGGCCAGGACTCCCTGGGAGAAGAGATAATGTATCTCAATGGGACATTCCTGGTAAAATAAAGGATAAATAAATAAATAAAAATGCCTGTTATTGTCCCTCATAATGATAATAATCTACTGCTGTTGTCTCCACAGTGAGTGAAGTCCATCTCCCACAAGTAAATTCCTTTTACTCACATCCCTGTTTCTCTCTGTCTCCTCCTAGTTACCAAAGACGCCATCCTACCGGTATTAGTGCCCAGGACCAGAGCAGAATTCTTACAATGTGAGTCTGTTCACACACAC